CGCAGGAAGGCTGCAGTACTATCAACAAGATTATCGATTTGTGTGGGAGTAAAGTTAAGGTGGCCTCCTTCCACTGTGTTGGCAAATGGCACTGAAGTAGATAAAGATGGAAAGTTCATACAAATGAAGCTTGTGACACTCCTAACCACAAAGAGTGTGTGCAGCATTGAGTATTAATCCCCACCCTCACACCTGCTGCTAGGTTGATGGTCAGGGCTTGGGTTGTACTAAAATAAATGATTCAGATAACAGATTGTGATATTTCAGTAATATTAATAAGTTGCAAAGCTTCCTGAGCTGTCCTGGCACAGTATATTTCCCCACCCACCCAGCACAAGTCACTACATACACCTTAATAATGTCTTAGTAATTTTTTCAGATTTTTTTCCATCATTCTATTAATTCAAGTCTAACTTGACTATGGTTCTGGTGGAACAATTACAGCCATAAATGTTACTGTTGGCTGAGAAACCTGCCTGACGTCTAACAGAGGTGAGGATTCGCATGTACCGGTATAACTGGTCACTCCCTTATTCCAGATGACTGTCATTCCTTTTAATGTCACTGTTTTTATTCTTAATGGAGGCTAGTAATGTCCCCATTTTTCATTTTTGTTCTAAGCTTAGCTGAGTGTGTCCTGGGCCTCAGTCTGTACAAAGACCAGAACTGAGCATTAAGGCCTGAGATGTTAATGTAGCCAGAGATGAATTCAGTCTTCTCCTATGACTATGAAGACAAAAGAAATACAAGAGATTTCAAAAAAAGAAGTTCATCTGCATGTTTATCATGTACTTGGAGTCTGTGAAATCCCCATCAGCTTTCTATTTATCTGTTAAACCTGTTTTGATTAATTTCTCAGGTTATGTTCTGTCAGTTGATTACACGTCTCTCAGCTTATCTGCAGCTTCACTCAGTGCTGCTGTAGAAAAACATCCTAATGAGCTTGTGGAATCTATTCTGAAGGCGGTAACCCTTAATACAGCACAGTACAGTGATAGTGTTGGTTTCTCTAGATCATTAACAGGCAGCTCTGCAAACAGCTTAGAGATCCCAGCTTCTTCCCGAGACTTGAGCTTCTGAAGTCTGCTGCTTGCTCATATTTAGGCCAAGACTTGATGACGACGCTTCCTAAATGATCCTAAGTATCATTTTTCCAGACAAGCCATTCCACCAAATCTTAATCCTTCTGATTGAGTTGGTCTCTTTAAGATGTAAACTCGGCATGAAATCCTCCTGAGGCAACGTCTCGCGTTTATTTTTTAATTAAGGCGAGGCTCGGACCTCCAGTTGGCTCCGCTGCGACTTGTGCATGTGTGCAGTGTTGCATCCAATTAGGCCAAAGCTAACGAGTCCAGGGGTCTGACTCCAGGGTGATGTGAGGCGGCACTGGTGGCGGTGGGATATTAATACCACAGTCCACTTAGGGTGATGCCTCTATTATAGTGTTATTGTTGTAATGGTATTAAGGTAATCCAGCATGCAAAACCACAGATGTTTTAACTGAATCTATTTGTTTCTCAGTTTAATTAAAGGGCTTTGAGCTGATGCTTCCTACACCGGTGCTCTGACACGACTCTCACATGCTTTCTGAGAACTGGTGATACGCAACCCTGCAGTTTACCCATTAAAAAAACTACAGAAATCAACTGATTTTTAAAAACTTTAGATTTTTAATAACTTTAGTTTAATTCCTGTATATAGGTTTACCCCCGCCCCCTGCTCTTCCTCCCCAGCTCCTATTCTCCTCCTGCCAAGTCAGCATTCTCCTGCCTCTTTTACCTTTTTTTTACACATTGTATTGTTACAACAAAGATGTTTGTCTACCCCAATCTATGATCAGTACAGGCAAATATCTAATTTAATAAAAATAAAGATGTAGTTTAAACACCACAACCTCTTAAGAAATCACAAAATTCTTAGTTTTGCAGGGACTTTAAGCTTGAAGGAACTAAATCATTGCTCAGTCATTTCAGATGCATAGTGTTTGTGCATAACAGGTGAATTAATGCCCTGTTTTCTTTTTTTTTCTATTGCTGCTCCAATTTTTCCCTTTTATACAGTTTTTACTATTATTATTATTAATGATAAAGTTCCCCTGTTGGGTATTTTTATTCTTTTCTGAACTTTGTGGAGACATGGCAAGAGAAACTTTATACTGATACAGTAAATCAGATCTCCAAAATAATGAATGGTTATGTTTGTGTTGTAAGACGATGTGTACAAAAGGGCTGGGGGATTTGTATCAGATTGTTTTTGTTTGTTTGTTTGTTTGTTTTTGAACTCTGAGATAAACGTAAAACCGAGAGTATTGCTTCTTCTGCTCACACTCAAACGCCAGCAGGTTTCTGGATTTGCGACAGTAACATAAACCGTCGCCGTTGCCCTGGAGACGCCTGAGCTTGAGCTCTGTGTCGGTAAGCAAACTGAACTAACTGCTGCAACAGCGGCTTAGGACGACATCATAATGGAAACGTAAGGCGAAATCATTCGTTTTCAAATCGTTTCAGAGTCAGACAGAGAGAACAGACCCCGAACTGTATAACATTTGTAAAAGCCTAATTCGAACTAAAAGTATAACAGCTGCAATGTGGTAGGTCAAACCTCTTCCAGGGGTTTCTTTTGTCATTGCTGGTTAATCGACTGTACCAGACTGTTTACACACTTCTCAGTTTGCGAATGTATACTTGTAGATTCATTGCTGACTGTTGCACATACAGCTGATGTAGCATTTATTATATTTTCCACTTGCTGTTTTTCAATTTCTTTATTTTGTATTGACATTTATCATTTTTCTGAATGAATGAATGAATTTATTTTGTATTAATCGTTACATTGTGGACGCAAAGGAAGAATTTCATTGTGCAGGGAAAAATGTTTCCTTACTGTGCGTATAACAAACACTTTAATTGATTTGATTGATTTAAGGGGAATTCATGCTTTGCGCGCAAGTAGGTGAAAATGCGCCACTCGAAATTAGCGGACGCGCAAAGCACGAGCCGCTCCCGCTCGTGCTTCCTTCTACTGCGCTACAAACTTAATCCAGACGTCAAAATGTGCCTCTTTTGGTCGATTTACGCTGTAGCTTTTAATTTTGATAACTTTATTTAAACTTTTTCAACTTGTTGTAGGCGAATGCTTTTCTGTGGGAAACTTTCAACTTTCTTTTTTCAGCTTCCTAATACCTCATTTAAACTTTAAAACGGTTTTCATCTTCTCTTTTATGGGCAACTTTTTTATTTTTAGCTGTTTACAATATGCAAAAGGAGAATAAAGGCTGAAAACCATTATAAAGCCTCGTCCGGTTCTTTCAAACCAGGAACTCCGAGGGACGACTCAGACCACTTGAGTATATAAAAATATAACCGTGCTGGTTTATTCAAAGAGGCACAGGCAAGAATTCACACTTCCAGTCCAGAGATCTTCCAACCCCCAGGCTGCCAAAGCAGCCCGGAAGCAGAAAGACCCCGAACCACGCATTGCTATACAATATTAATCATTTCTGGGCTGTCGAACCGTGACGTCACCTGATATGCCAGCTTGGCAGCTGAGCAGAGCAGTAGACCAAACATGAAGAAAATAATGTGTGTGGCTGTTGTTTTCGTGGTGTGTATCTAAAACAATTTGACATAACATTACACATTAAGACAAATATTATGGTTACTTTTACCATCATAATAACATTTGTCCCTGACTTCAGCCCTTCTGCCTTAACTAACCTTGCATTTAACAGCCTAAGCTAGTCACCCTGTCTGCATTAAACATTCCTAGACAACAAATCTCTGAATATCTATCTAACTAAAAAATAACCTAACAAGAACAACCTTGCTAGTGATATTCTTTAGATGATATTGTGCACATGGCCCTTGTTAAAACTATTTTTGGTTTATGTTCTTGAATTCATGTAGACAGAAAAAAGAAAAAAAATATTAAAATGGTGAAATATTTATAATACTGAAAAAATTCAGGATTTAATTCTTTGGTCATATTGCCCAGCCCTGGTGTTAAATGGCAGATTTTATTTTATTTTATTTTTTAAATAATTTGCTCAGCCAGAAACACTTAACACTGGTGAGTCCAACCCCACTAATTGTCCACTTACACTAAAAAGGACCAGGTGGAAGCACCAATGTTTTATCAGTTCTTCCTACTATTACAAAAAACATGTGCTAGAGAGCCCAACAACATCCAACAACATCTCTGGATGTTGTTGGGCTGTCTTGGTTGACACGCCTCTGCAACGTCGCATGGCGGTCGGGGACAGTGCCTCTGGACTGGCAGACCGGGGTGGTGGTCCCTCTTTTTAAGAAGGGGGACCGGAGGGTGTGTTCCAACTATAGGGGGATCACACTCCTCAGCCTCCCCGGGAAAGTCTATGCCAGGGTACTGGAGAGGAGAATTCGACCGATAGTCGAACCTCGAATTCAGGAGGAACAATGCGGTTTTCGTCCTGGCCGTGGAACACTGGACCAGCTCTATACCCTCTTCAGAGTGGCAGAGGGTTCATGGGAGTTTGCCCAACCAGTCCACATGTGCTGCGTGGATCTGGAGAAGGCATTCGACCGTGTCCCTCGCAGTGCCCTGTGGGCGCGACCCGGCCCCGGATAAGCGGAAGAAAATGGATGGATGGATGGATGGATGTGCTAGAGAGCTGACCAGATAGAAACTAGTTCATAGACCCATTTTTAAATAAGTAACAATTGAGTTAGTTTGTTTTAAAAAGTGAACACTAGAGGATAGCGAGTCAGTTATCTATAATTAATACTATAATTGTTTTACATGAATTAGACCAGACATTTATTTGTCTTGGTTTCATTTAAATCCTGACTTCTCTCTGTGGTGTTTCCATCCAGCCTGTCTTATAGTGATGTGGTTCTAATTCTGTGTGTCTTGTGTCCTTCAGGGAGAAGGCTCAGATCCTAAAGAAGACTGCGATGAAGCGAGTTCTGCTGCTGGGTTCAGGGTATGTCTCTGGGCCTGTAGTTGAGTATTTAACTCGCAATGAGAAGACCCAAATCACTGTGGGTGAGTTTGTCTTACCAATTATGAAAAACTGAGAGATTGGCATGTCAGTTAAAGTATTAAACAACATAACCTCAGTTCAAAGTTCAACTTGGGAGATTATTGCCAAAGCTTCACACTTCACTTATAAGTGGCTACTGTTTAAAATGCTGTGGAGCCTTTACTTTGGTCTGCAGCGTGTTCTTTTATGAAGAATAATCGGAGCCAAGTATCAATTTTAAACATTTATTATCACAATTGAATACA